GGGGGCCCCGCGCCTCCCCCCGGGGGGGCCCCGAGCCAAGCCGGGCCACGTGCCTGCAACCACCATCGTGTTGGCTTACCGTTCCATAGCAAGACCAATGGGATTCCCTCCCCAGGGCCAGGCTAGAGAGGACCGGGGAGGGGGAACCGCCATCTCCGGCTTCATTCCGGCTCATTACTTCAAGAGCATCTTTGCTGTGACCTGAGCCCAGATGGACCGATGCCCCATGCGCACAAAGGACGCCTTCCAGACTTTTCAGGGAGCAGTTTATTCCACCGCTGCTACAAGCCTGCACCAGGGACTTTGTGGGTACGTCGAGACTACACCTCTCTGTCGACAGAGAGATGTAGATTAGGCACGTCGAAATTGCTAATGACGCAGGGATTTAAACATCCCGCGCTTCATTAGCATAAACATGGCCGCCGCTTTTTTTTTGAAATGGAGCTTTTTTGAAAAAGAAAACGCAGTCTAGACGTGGAGCTGTCAAAAATAAACCCTTTTTGGACAGATCCTGTAAATCTCAGTATCTGTATCTTTGAGGAATACAGGCGCTGTCGAGAAAGGCTTTATTTTCGACAGATCTGCATCTAGACTGCCGGGTTTTTTTTCCCAAAAACCTCCTTTCTTTTTCGAGTGGTCCCCGTGGGTGCTCCACTCGTGGTGTCAAGCTCGTCCCGGCTCCACGGATCCGGAGACTTGCATAGCCGTGCTCCGCTGGACCATGCAAGCGCAAGCAGTGGCTCGCGCCGTTCGCGCCTTTGATCCGCTGCACGCAAGTCCGGCCCCTGCTCACTTCCTTCCAACCACCCTCGGTCGCGAACGGAGCTCCATCTTTCCCTCAGGGTTTCTCCTGACCTTAGACCTGTAAATAGTTACTGACAAACCAAGTTTCTCTTAGTCTTATCTGTTCTTAGTCTGGTTCAAAATTCATTAAAAAAAATAAAATAAAAATGTGTTACTCAACGGGAGGATACACTCTCTGTGAGGAACGCCTGGGACCCCAGGCTTTAAGAAATGTTCACTCTGCCGGGAGCCCATGCCAGTATCGGATGGGCATGAGGCGTGTCTACGGTGCTTGGGAGAGGCACACGCACCACAGCGGTGTCAGCGCTGCTGTCAGCTGACAGCCAGAGCCCGCAAGGATCGGGAGCAGCGTTTGAAAATGCTTTCAATAAATAAAGCGTTACAGCCTGCTGAGCCGTCCACCTCTTCTGGGCACAAGTGCACCATTATGGGCAGCGAGACTTCTGCGTCAAAGAAGCCCAAGCTGTCCCCAACCCGGTCTCTGCCAGAGGCTCTTGGTACCAGACAGGGTTTAAAAGATGGCCCGGGCACATCAGGGGTAGCTGGGGCAGAGTTTCGGCAGGCGCCGGACGACACTGGAAAAAAACCCGCCGGCGGGCCGGCCCACAGTCCACCTGCGGGAACTGACAGCCGCACCAGCCGCACCGGGGGCATCGGCACCAGCAGCAGGAGCAGCTGCGATGCCTGCGGCACTAGAGTTACCAGCTCCGGCAATGTTGAAACCACAGGTGACTTCGCCGGCACCAGAGAAAGTGCCCTCAGCACTGTATGCCCGGGGAC